TTGTTAGTTTGAAGAACAAAGCCGATGTCACAAACACATGAAGCCACTCCAGCGCTGTCCTTGGTGCACGTGGCGTTGCCACCACACCTCTTGAGCACACATGTGTCTGCCGGTGCGAAGAGCCACACGGGGGTAGGGCAACATGTGCAGGAAGAGAAACAGTGAGTTAAGGACGCGGTACCTCTAGGGAGGAAGCCACGATCGATCCTGGCTTGTACAGTGAAATCGCGAAATTGCTACCAGGCTGGTATCCGGTTTCGTTATCCCTCGCAAGTGTACAGTAAATTGGTGCCCAAAATGGTGGCACCTCTGGCTCGCACGATCGATGTGCCTGCGCCCACACATCGATCGTGTAATTGTGGAGATCGGGGCCATTTTGCCCCAGAAATTTTCGATCGTGGCACCTGTGGCTCGGTGTGTCCACACGATCGCAATTTTGCAGTGTGGGCACATCGGTGTGCCGATCGATGTGCCCACATCGGTGTGAGGCCCCGATCCTTCCCCGATCCTTCCCCGATCCTGGCCAATTCCCTAGAGGTGCCGCGTCCTAACGGGCATATGTGTGTGTGAAAGGGGAGAGGTGGACTGCAGAAGTACGAGAGTATGACAGGTAGTAGCAGCTTGTGTCAGAAGAGAAGCACCCGCACACAGCAGCACGTACCAGTGCATGTCCTGTTGTTAGTTTGAAGAACAAAGCCAACGTCACAAACACAGGAGGCCACTCCAGCGCTGTCCTTGGTGCACGTGCCATTACCACCACACGCCTTGAGCACGCATGTGTCTAGAAAGGGGAGGGAAGAGGGATGAGCAAGTGAGGAAACTTGGATAAAAGAATAACAGGAGAAGGAAAATGACTAGCTCACCTAGATGACATGACAAGGCTCTATAGGATGCAGGTCTAGCCTGACACACCTGACAGGCTCCAAACACTCCGCTTCCTGAACACCCTGCTCTCAACACCTTAATCCTGACAACCAGCTGAGCACACACGAGGCTGCTCACACTGCCTTGAGTACCAGGCTCCCTGGGACCTGCGTGAATACATCTCGACTTCTGTCATGACCACGGATTGCCTCGCAAAGGTCTCTAAAACGTCTACCCTACCGCACAGAAGCACTCACCTCACCAGCAGCACTAACCCCCTCAACAGTCGTCAACCCGACAGCAGCACTCAACTCAACCAACAGCACAGCACTCACCGACACAGCCTTTAGGGGTCATGGCGAATCCAAGGTTGCAGACACAGGTGGCATCGCCCCTGTCCTTCACGCACACCGCATTGGCGCCACAGTTCCTCTGCACGCACGAATCTGGCGGGATTAGAGAACAGAGAGGAGAGGAAGGCATGAGTAGAGTTCCTCTTCACGCAGACCGCATTGGCGCCACAGTTCATCTGCACACACGAGTCTGCCGAGTTATTTCATGAAGGAACAGAGAGGACGAGAAAAGCGAGAGGAAAGAAAATGAGAGGAAAGGAACAGAGTGGGGGAGGAAAACAAGCAGGAAAGGAAATGGGACGAGGAGAGAAAAGGAGAGAAGAGGAGGAACAGCGAGGTGATCATGGTATGGGCATGGAGAGGTGGAGTGGAGAGTGACGCAAAGCACCTTAAGAGCTTCCTAGACAAGACGAGAAACTTCTAAGGGTGGACAACAACAACAAAAAAGAGTGGGGGTGGGGTAGGAGGGGAGGGAGGGGGGACTGGCTGGACGGATAGGGTGGAAGGAGTCCTACTTAAAGTGGTGAGCGTCATAACCTCTGAGGGTAGAGGCCCAGGAGAAATATGAGCACTGCAAGGGTTTGAATCAGCCCTAACCATTGGGTGCTGACTTACGGTCTGGGGCGGCACTGGTAGCTGGCGTGCGGGCGGCAGCAGCCCTGGGAGTACATGCTGTGAGAGGGTGGGGAAAAGAACGGGAGGAGAATGGTAACGCTGAATTAGGGAGGAATGCGGAGAATGGGATGCGGAGGGAAGGGAGGCAAAGGCTGAACGAGGGAGGTGAATGGCAGCAGCGGATGTTACTCGTAGCTGGGAAAAAAACAGCCCTGGGCGCACATGCTGTGCAAAGAAGGGAACGGGGGAAAATGGGGAAAGGGAGGAGGGACGGGAACGAACGGCACAAGGGCGGTGGGAAGAGAGAAACGGAGAAGGGAAACTGTGGTGATAGCCTTATAGACTTTGGAAGGGCAGTGAACAAGAGCTTAGATTAGGACAAGGTACACGAGAGATTAGGATTGGCGGAGAAGCAGTACTGAGTCAACTCGGACTAAGATTCGTGGAAGAGAATATTCACGCATCATGTCAGTGTGGCGCGAGGGCTGTCACTCGATAAACTCCACGAACCGGTTGGTTCGGTTGGCGCGAGTGACAGCCCTCCACGCAACCGAACCTGGCAAACCTGAGAGCACCTAGCAGCTTACGAGCGTCTGAGAGCAAGTACCTGAGAGCATGAGAGCAGCCAGTGCAGCGAGCACGAGGCCAGAGCGCCGCTTCACAGCCATGAGTGCGGATACGCCTGTCGACTCGGTACGGGTCAGGAAGGAAGTCCTTGCAGCAGCACAGCAGCAGCAGAACTCAGTCTCTGTCACTATTGGCAACTTTGTCGCCCTAAACCACTTTGAAGTGGTGTCACTGAAGAGGTCCCTTTTTTTGTATCGCGCGACGACGAAGGCTTCACTCACTGAAAAAAACTATCGGGAAGAAAACTGCTGTATCGTAACTAATGAGACATAGGCGGAAGGAGAGTAGAAAAGAAATTAGTATGAAAAAATATGTAAGCAGCGGCGATGGCTCATCCCGAAATTCAGAACGCCAAAATCTCTTCGAAACCGAAGTCCCCCAGAGGATATTTTTAGGCAATGGCGAATTCATAGACACTCTGAGAGCTCGCGCACCTTCGGAATGTTTTTTACTGGCTGTGAAATAAATCTCAGGGGATACGTCGGCCATCGAAGGATTTGATGTTGGTTGTACAGACGGAACGGAACATTCGCGGATTGGACACTGGCTGGCTAGTAGAAGGCGGAACCTAAAACGGATAACGGGCGGTACTTTGACAGTAAAGTGAACAAGCCAGGTCTATTTGTACAGTTTCCGCAGCAACACACAATCTGGGGTCAGGTTAGGACTCAGGTGTACTGTACAGATGAGCAGACTCAGTAGAGGGCGATGCTGGAGAAAGGGATCAAGGCAATCGAGTAGGTGAGGCATCCACGAACATGGTTCCGGAAGGCAGGGTTTAGGGCGTGTTACAAGTTCGAAAATCGAAGGATCGTGGCTGCACACCGATCCCTTGTCGGAGATCCTGGGCTCACTGCGTTATCGATCACTGTACCACGACCGCCCAAGCGTACTACCACCTAGAGTATTGCGACTGTGTGGTTTCGCTTTTCAAACGCAGAAACAATAAACACCCTGTTCGCCACTGCCTCGTCAAAATTTTCAGCCCGCATAACACTGACATGCGAGTTTTTCTGCGCATCGCGAAAGGGTTTCGTGACTGTATGTTGTCTGCATCGTCAATCTCACGATCGATCTTCGTGGCGAGGCGATCGTGCTGGTTTCCTCGGTCGGGCACAGTGCTAACACTGTAGTATGGTAACCTTTCACTACAGTTGTTGACCAGAGTGAGGATCGGTTCGAAGAGGCGATCGATCCTCTACTTGCAACACGCCCTTAGGGAGGGGGGCTTGGTCGCGCGTGCCCGACGCACCCCTCCGTGCTGGCAATGGCAAGGCCTGAGGCGCCTCGAGGGAGATAATAAGAATGTATGTACAGTGCCAGGTGGAGCCTGCTGTGCAAGCTCCACCCTTTCTTTCGTTCGCGCTGGCCGAAATGTTTCGGTATAAGACTCCGCGACCATATTCTCTATTTTCGAAAATGAGCAGCATTTTCCTCTAATTTCTAAGTGGCACCTCCTCTGAAAAGTTTGGTCCACGAATGAGTTGCGAAGCCAATCGGAGGACCCCGAAGATTCTCGAAGACTCGAAGGCCTCATCGGACGCCCAGCAACCTAGCATGCAAACAGGTCGACCTCCATCGCAGCACAGGGGCGGCTTACCAGCGCCGCAAGTCAGCGGGCCGCCAGTGCAACTAAGGAGCGACCTGTCAACACTGCAAGTCGGCGACCTGCCAGCGTTGCACCAGGGCGGCTTGCCAACGCTGCAGCAAGGCGGTCTGCCAGCGTTGCTACGGAGATAACTCTAGCAACGGGAGCTAGTCTACGGGCTAGGCACGGGGTAGGAGTGATCAAAGCGTTCGTTTCTTAGTCGTTCACTTGTGCTCTCACTACTTGCTCATTCACAAGGAGATTCACTCGCAAAAGTTCACAATGTTGCCAAAGCAAAGCAACACTGGCTACATCAGGAGCTAGCATGCAAGCAGGTCGACCACCAGCGCAGCATGGTCGACCGCGTTCCAGCACAACATGGTCGACCGCGCTCCAGCAGTGCAAAGTCGCGATTTGCCAACGCTGCAAGTCGACGGCGTGCCAACACTGCACCAAGGCGGCTGCACAGCGTTGCAACCGCAGAACAGCAGTGCACCCTCTTCGCAGGTGCACGCAGTTGATTGGCGTGCTGTGCCTCGTCACCTGCACAGCGCAGACACCAAGCCGACTACGTGCCCACGACTGCACCTGATCCGCCCACGTCGACCTCGGGACACCACTTCCGAGGTCGGCTTCGTCAGAACCACCAAAGCGTCTGTCGCACACCTCCGCAGAACTTCGTCGCCCTGGTAACTTGGTCGACCTGGAAACCACCAGGTCGGCGTGGACTTCTTTGGGGAAAATCGACTTGAAGTTGTACGTGCTCATCGACTAACCAAGTCGACGACCACCAGCCAACTTCACCAAGTCGGCCACTCCCCAGGTCGGCGCCCCCCAAGTCGGCGCCACTCCTCTTCGTGCCCGTCGATCGCCCAGGTCGACGACCACCACCGGTCGACCACACCAAGTCGACCACACCCTTGGTCGACTAGACCCAGGTCGACCAGCCCTGCTGTCAGCCGACCCCACCTTAGTCGGCTTCACCAGGTAGGCGTCACCAAGTCGACGCCCTCCTAGGTCGACCTCCCAGGTCGACCTACTGAAGTCGGCGCCCTCCTAGGTCGACCTCCCAGGTCAACCTCCCGAAGTCGGCGCCCTCCAAAGTCGGTGCCCTTGCAGTGGCCCCCGTGCAAGTCAGCTAGCCCCGTCGACCGGCTCGCCCACTCCTGCAGGTCGGCTGCACCTCCCGTACACCCGACCACGAGGTCGGCTCCGCCCAAGCGAGGACGAGGCCAACCACAACTCCCGTTGACACTCCCATGTCGCGTTCACGCTTGGGCCTCCAGCCCACACGGCAGCACCACTCGGAGAACAGCTCGTCGACATGCACACAACACACAGCACGCTGGTCACCGCACCAGCCATGCGAGAAGGCATGGCACCTACTGCTGCACAACGTCGTCACCGCTGCCCGCGTCGGCCAGGCGCACTTGGCTGATTGCAACGGAGCACCGGTTGAAGGCCGGATAGTGCAGCGCCTTCTTCAGGAAGTCGGCCGGCTACTCGATGATCAGGATGTAGTTCAGCGAAAACTTCCCGCTCTTCACCATATGCTGCAGCCAGGCATTTCGCCGCTCCATGTGCTTGAGGTTGCCTGTCAACCCCATGTGTCACAAAGTAAGGAACGAGAATGACTAGAATGAGAACAGTACAAGGTTTGTATAGGCAAAACCTAACAGGGCTGTACCCCATAAGGAGTGCCCCACTACAGCCTAGAGTATAGTTCTGACACACCCCTATAGGCAAAGTGGGGGACAGGCAAGAGAACAAGGCAAGGTCACACTCAGGGTGGATCACAACGTCGCATTCTGAGCACAAGCAAAAGGCCACAAGGCCAGTTCACATGCAGAGTTATATATCAAGGTGAAGAAGCAGTACAGTGATCTCAACCTAACAAGTGTAAGAATGCAGGTGCAGGTATATATAGATCACAGTACAAGCAAAGTCAAGAGGTGAGCAAGTGAGGCCAGGTAGGCACAAGACCTAACAGAGTACAGAAACGCTGATGATCACAAGGCTGAAGTGCCTTGGTAAAGATATCAGCAGTGTTGGCCCGAGTGGCCACGTAAGCAAGACGAAGCTGACCACGCTGCTGCAACTCTCGAGCAAGGAAGTAGCGTAGAGCGATGTGCTTCGTTCTGTGCTCCAGTCTGTGCTCCTGACACAAGGCAATCATGGCCTTGTTGTCGACGTACAGAGGTACAGAACTGGAGGAGAACGAGGCGGCTCTCCCAAGTCGGTCAGCAGGTAGGTGAGCCAGCGTAACTCCTGTGCAGCCATGGCCCCAGCGTAGATCTCAGCCTCACAACTGGAGCTGAGAACAGAAGACGAGCGGGTAGACCGCCACGAAACAGAGCCGGAACCAAGGTCGAAGGTGTAACCCTGTGACGACCGCTGCGTAGCCAAGTCGTCAACCCAAGAAGCGTCTGCGTGACCAGTGAGGACAACTTGAGCCCGTCCTCCAAGCACGAGCCCCATGCCCGACGTACTGCACAGGTAGCGCAACACCCTCTTAGCTGCATCCATGTGCTCAGGTCGGTGTCTCCCAGGAGCAACATAACGTGCCACGATGCTAAGAGGGTATGCCAGGTCAGGTCGAGTGCAGGTCATCAGGTACATGAGGCAGCCCACAAGCTTTGGGTACGGGCCACTCGGCTCTACGGACTCGTCCGAAGGCAGAGCTGAGAGCGAGTGGCGAGTAGACAGAGGAGTGGCCTGAGGCGAGGAGTACGTGAAGTTGAAGCGCTGAAGGACCTGCTGCACCATGTGTGCTGCGTCGTGCTCTGTCCCGGGTGATCCGCAAGCCAAGATAGCTGCGCAGCTCACCCAGGTCTGTGCACGTGTGTCTCTTCTGCAGCTCCGACTTCACGTGGGCCAGTCCAGCAGTGTCAGCAGTAGCAAAGACCAAGTCGTCGACGTACACTAGGATGTAGAACGGCGGCAGGGAAGTGTCGATGCGTAGAAACAGCGATGGGTCAGCAGTGGAAGGAGCAAACCCAAGAGCCGCAAGCGTAGTCCTTAGTGTGTCGTGCCACTCACGGGACGCCTGGCGGAGATCGTAGACTGGCCGCCAGAGGCTCCACTGGGTACCAGGAGGAAACGACCCAGTGAAGCCAGGTGGGCGGCGCAGCCAGATCTCCTCGTGCAGGCTGCCCTGTAGGAAGGCTGTGCTGAAGTCAAGAGAGTGAAGCTCGTAGTCACGCTGAGCGGCGACGTGCAGCAGCACACGAAGAGTGGTCATCTTCGGGGTGAGGGAGAAGGTCTGAAAGTAGTCAACTCCCTGTCGCTGACTGAAGCCTCGAGCAACGTAACGCGCCTTGAAGACAGGCGGAGAACCCAGCGGCCGCTTCACCCTGAAAATCCACATGCCATCGACAATGTTCGCCCCAGGTGGGAGAACCTCGTCAACGTAAGTGCCTGTGGACTTCCAGGAAGCCATCTCTGCGCCCATGG